AGAAAAACGGGAATTAGTAACTCGTGGCGATGAAGAATCTCCGTGAAAAAGTCGTTGTCGAGTCGTTAGATCATCATCTCGTTCTCGATGTTCTCGTTCCGCTGGTTCTCCTCGTACTCGTCGCAGTAGCAGCACATGGAGACGCCGTCCTCCATCGAGTTGTCGGCAACGTACGTCGTGAACGTGTCGATGCTCTTCGCGTCCAGCGACGGCAGCGACCACGACAGCGATTCCGTATCCAACTCCGGCACGTTCGAATGCCAGGAAGTCAAGTTCCGTGACTTTTTCACCTTGCGGCTCCTCGTCGACAGTTTCTTGATGGCCTGCGAAATTGAGCAAGCAACGGCTTATTTCTTTCTCTCTCTCTCTCTTTACCGATCGATTCGTCGTTTCGATTTTATTTATTTTCTAATTTTTTTTGAACGGTGCTACATGTCAGATGACTAAACCATAGGCCTCTCAGAAGCATAGCAGTTCGTGCCAGTCGGGGTTGCAGCGAGACACGAAGGAATCAATGTTGAGCAAGGTCAGAATTACGCCAACGAAAATTGCATACGTATGAAAAGAAACAGTCTACCGTGGAAATTAACTCAAGGCTCGACTCTCGGTTCTTCGTACGAAGAAATTTCGTGGAGTGCAGGCAGAAGGGGTGGGTGGGGGTGGTTGGCAATCGCGTCGAATCGACGAAATTAAATTCGGATCGAAACTAGCCAATGGCGAGGGTTAACGATGCGAGAAACGCCTGGCTGAAGAAATTAGGTCGACCGATGCACCAGTGCAAACGTGTGCGTGCATTGTATGCATGTACGTGCATTGCGTGCGTGAGTGCAACAGCGAGTCGAAAGGGATAATTGTCACGTCGTCTTACCCTAAGCAGCCTGCGGCCGGACTTGCTCAGCAATTTTCTCAACATATCGACGTTCGAGACGGTGTCTCGACGGTGTCCGAATTTTGAACGGGAGTCAACGGGATTAAACGGGACACAGCGCGGCTGACGAGATTGATTTTTGACGCGGTTGTACGAGTTACCCCAGAGCCTCTAGTTCGATGCGCACGCCTTGGCGTCACGCGACCAAATACCGCTCCGTGTCGCCACACCGTCCTATTTATCACCTCGGCTGGCCCGATCTTATCGTACCACGCCGTACGAACCACCCTATCCCCACCCGAACGTTCACCGTCTAAAGTATTTACACGCTGCATGCTTTGCTTTCGAGTATTATAGAATCACGTTTGCACAGAGAGAGAGAGAGAGAGAGAGAGAAGTCGTAATAAAGTCTTGCTGCTGATCTATTGTCTCGTATACGCGCTCGATTATTCTTCTCCCTCACGTTAGGCATAAATTTCACTTCAAAATCTATCGCTTCTTCCTGCCCGATGGTAAAAGAGAGATTTTTCCCTTCTTTTCTTTTCTCTCCAACTGTCAAGTCGCACAGCTTTGGTTCAATCGCGACTGGTGGTTCTCGCGCATCGATCGAGCCTCGCGAGAAAGATGATGAACCCGCGAAGCTGGCAGAGCGAGGCGGAGAAGAAAGAGAAAGGAAGGAAAGGTGGGAGGGAAAAGGAGATGCTCGTTGAGGGAAAGTTGAAGGGTGGAGGCGCGTGGCGCGGTCGCGCGTACGCATGCGCGTACGCGAAACTATATGCAACACGCACGTGCGCACGACGTAGACGTAACGCGTGTGAGCGGAGTTGTTCTCACGCGGCGGCACGAGGCCACCATCTCCCCAGTGCGTGTCGCCACGTGCCAGCTCGATGCACCCACAGAAAGCTCATAATTGTCATAACATTCGAGCTACGCTCGCTCGAGGAAACGCCAATACCCCGGCGTTATATTCGATCTACGACAATAATAATAAGCAGTAGTAAGTACTAGTAGCAAATAGGTAGAGCTTATGTACTCTTCTCTTTTTTTTTTATTCCTTTGCGTGAAATCTCGAAACATTCTCGTACAATCGGGTACGATATGTACGAGATCCATTTATACAGGGTGAACACAGAAAAAAAGGGTAGATAGTGCACTCGCTGAAACATGAAGTTCTAATAAATATGGGTGAAAAAATTGACACTTTGCTGTCGGGAGACTGAGATTACAGTCCAAAGCATACTGACGTGACAGTCTTAACCTCTTGCGTTGACAAGTGGTTCACGGACCATAACGAGTGACCAAACCGTATGCAATAATTCGCCGCTGTTTTTTTGAATTCGTCGCAGTATAATACCACTGGATAAAAATTATTACCAAGAAGTAATAAATTTATTATTTGTTTTGTCTGGGTTATACTTAAATGTATTTAAAACTGAGACAATATTGCAATTTTGGGACGAAAAACTCTCGATGTGTGTGGCGCGTTATGACAGGTTAACAAGAGGTTAACCTCTTGCGCTGGCAAGTGGTTCACGGACCATAACGAGTGACCAAACCGTATACAATAATTCGCCGCTTTCTTTTTGAATTCGTCGCGGTATAATATCATTGGATAAAAATTATTACCAAGAAGTAATAAATTTATTATTTGTTTTGTTTTATAAATGTATTTAAAATATTGCAATTTTGGGACAAAAAATTCTCGATGTGCATGAGTTAAAAACGACTAAAGTTACAAACGACTTTTCTGTTTTATAGAAGTTACGAACCCTTTTCCTCTGTTCACTCATTGTATAAATGGCTACGTTATCACATACTTTTCATCAAGGATTTTGTACTCAACAGTGTTGCTCGCTTTCGATCACGTGTAACACCTCATTCTTTATGATCGTCGTCTCGAAATGAAAAAGGAGAGATCTTAGAATTGAACTATCCTAAGATAGCTTCGCACGAATGACGTCACAATGCACCACTCCAATTACGTGTGACGTCAACAAGACCGCTGCCCTAGAACTAGTTTACTATCCCTATCTAGCCTATACGCGCAAATGCTATATTATGCATGCATGCAGGTGTAGAAATCACGTACAATACTAAATGAAAGTAACAAGACGATAAAGATAGAAGAAAAAGACTTGACGCACCTCTTCCCCCCACCCCTATTTCCCTCTCGTCAGTTTTTAATTCTCGTACATTCGAACGAAGCGAAGTAACTGAATCATCGTGGCACGTGCCAAATACGCGTGTATTTCCGACTTTTTTTCTAAGGTGTCTAATCGTCACTCGCGCCAGTTAGTTTTTTTGCTTCGATCAACTCAAATGCTTCCCACGTGCTTCAACATTGATTAAAATACATCGATACGTTCGTAAAAAAAAAAAAAAAAAAAAAAGAAAAAAAAA